CTTTCCGCACGCAAATCGGTGTTGACGTGCGTTTTCCGCACGCTCGTAGGAAAATGCAATTTACACAACTTGAATACCTACCTTCCTATTGGACCTATGCAACACATTACAATATGATAATGTAGGTATATATATGGAAATGAACAATCCCTATTCTCACTAGAATTTTATAAAGAGAATTTGGTTCTGGAAGCAGTAGCAGTATGAGGAATAATTAATTCACTACAATAATAATACGTACGCCTTGCCCCGTCTATGGCCTAATAATACTCATTTAAAAGTTCTAAGTTAATTTTGCCAAAAAAAAAGGGAATAAGAGTTGTATTCCTATTTTTACTTTCTCACCTAGGAGGATCTCCGGGGCATTACGCGCTTATTTCTTTCAAGAAGTGTTTGTTGCACCCCGAAGTGCTCAAGACCAAACCGAATTCAAACCATTCACGAAAGCCAGCGCATCTGTTCCTTAGAAATCGGGGTCGACTACACCGGAGCGAAGCTCTAGTGTTTTTAAACTCTTGTTGAAAGGAATACAACTACTGACGTTTGCGTCGACTAAAAAGCTATTTGCAAGTAGCTTTTGAAAAAGACCTAAGAATTTTATAGAAAAATGTAACAAATTATGCCAAAAACTTTTTTTAATCTGGAGGAAAGGATGCTAAGTTAAAACTGCTGAATAAATGTATAAATCTTCTGGCTAATATCATTTCAATGTTAATAAAATTTAACATAAAAAAAAAGATAAATACGCCCTTATTTCAAAGCTTCAGCCACCTGCAACACCCCCTTCTTTGTTTTCACGAAGCCAGGTTTAATTAATTAATCCTTCGATGAACACGGCTTGCGAGAAAATATGGGCACTAGGACGTCTTCCATTTCTGTTATGGAAAATGGAATTTCCCATACCTTATCCCCAGGAGCCACTCGTAAAAATACCTTCATCCTACTCAAAATCGATGTACCTACTTTTCAACCCTCTTCGAGGCTTGTATGCGAAAATGGGGCACCTAAATATGTCACTATCTGACGATCTATTATCTGCGTTTATTTGGATCTAAATCGCATAACACTGAGCCTAGGGTTGCCACCTTTTGATTTCCGAAAACCCGTACATAATCGAAGCTAACTTTTTTTTGTAGCATAATTAACACTCATATCTGTAAAATGAATTTTTAGAAAAAAATTAAAAAAGGTATCTACTCAATTTCAAACGCCACCCCTCGTAGTTACGGTCTATTTTAAAATAATAAAAAAAAAAGCAGACGCTTGTAAGTGTCATTAATTATTATTAATTATATAGGGCCATATTCTCCGTAGTTCATAAAGCTTGGCTTAGTGGAAAAGCTCGGCTTTGTCACACAAAAAGCCAAGCATTTCCACTAAGCCAGGCTTTATGACCTACGGAGAATATAGCCCATAGTTATCCAGATATTCCTGGACATTTTCATCATGTGTCCGGACACCGGACAAACCTTTGAAAAACCGGACAGTCCGGGTGAAAACCGGACAGGTGGCAACCCTACCTGAGCCGCTTTCTCGCGTACACTTTTTTCAAACCTGCTTTGAACCAATGTCAAAAAAGTGGACGCGAGAAAACGGTTCAAGTTGGTGTCTTCCCGCCAAAATTTCAAATGTGAACGGCCAGTTGTTCAACTGTCAATTAATTTCAATGCCAATAGGAATTTGAATTGGAAATGAATTGAAAACGTAACGCTTTCCCGCGTAAATGTGTTTAGTAAGATGGGATAAACGATAGATGGCACATACAGAAAATTTGTCGTCAATAGGTCAAACTGGCAACGGCACGGCTGATAGGTAGGTAATTTATTAGGCAATTTTTCGCGAGGATAATCAAGCATTAGCTGGATTATGTGATGTGTCAATTCTGGGCGTGGCATACTTCCCTAACTCCTACGCCATTAAAAGGGCCGAATTTATAGTCGTTCCTTGAGGCTTCCTCAGACCTTAAGGAAGCCTTGAACGTTTAGAATGGACGTAACTAACTTGTCAAATAGTAGCAAATATCCATTCTAAACTCACCACCTTCAAGGAAGAGTCAAGGAACGACTATAAATTCGACCCTAAATTCTAAGATACTCCAGCATCATGGCTTTCATGCATTTAAATGGTTTGAGTCGGGCTTGAGAACACAGGCGCAACAAACACTTTTCGAAGGGAGTAAGCGCGTAACGCCCCGGAGCTGTTCCGGAGCTCTTCCTTGGTGTGAAAGGGAAACAACAATTGACGTCACTCGCAGGCCCAAAATTTGTTGAGGGTACTTGCATGGAAAATTAAATTAATTATTGTTTATTGCAAACTGTAGAAAATCGAAAAAAAATCGATGCGTGCTTTTTTATTTTGTCCAAATACGATTATTTCGAAAGTTATACAAGTATTGAGTTTTGTATATATAGATATAACTGAGTATGTGCGACGTTACAACGTTTTATAAGTTATGACGTCAGAAGGACAGTTCAAAGCGTTGTATCTCCGTCAATTTTTGACTAAAAAGAAAATGAAAAAACACGTGTTGACTTATTTTTCATGGACTATCGAAATCAGCAATAAAAAAATTTGATGCAAGGGGCCTATTGACACATCACATAAGGCCTTTAGTACTCATATAACTGCGAAATTCGCATTTCTTGACAATGAGTTGACAATTTGACGTTTTATGTGTGTATCAAACGTCAAATTGTTGAAGCAAAAAACTGCGAATTTCGCAGTTATGAGTACTAGGCTTAACCCAGCAATGATCAGATTATGCCGCTTGATTATCCTCGCGAAAATCTGCCTATATGTTGTCATTATTTTGTACAGCGTGCGGACTTTGAGAAAGAGTTTTGCGAAGAATATTGCCATCCTGACGGTGAAATGTACGGTTCCCTGCTGAAACAAAGCTAAACAACCGAACGAGCAGAGGACGAAAGCATTTTTGGAATACGACTTGCATCTCGTTATGAAAATCGCAAGAAATTAAACAATTTTCCCGCTTCCTTCACTTCAAATTTAACAAATTCGCAAAAAAATTAAATCTGACAGCAGCCGCAGCTTCTCTTCCACTCACTACTACTCCTTGCTTCTACTCTGGTTTCAAGGAGGAGGTTCAGAATTGATGATTTTATTTTATTATCGAAAAAAAATATATTCTCTATTCTCTAAAAAAATTAGTAGTCAAAGTGAAAATTTCAAAATTCTATTCCAAACCTTGCTGCACGAACTGCACTTAAACGCGTTTGGTAGTTTTCCGTTTTCCATTACCCTGGGTTGCATTCACGATAGACGCCCGGGCGTACTCCGGGCGCGCTCCAGCCTCCGGATAAAGCCTAGTACTCATAACTGCGAAATTCGCAATTTTTTGACATTTCTACGACAATTTGACGTTTAATTCACGTATAAAAGTCAATTTGTCGAAGCAATCTCAAAAAATTGCGAATTTCGCAGTTATGAGTACTAGGCTTAAGGGCGGGTATTATAACTACTTTGAGAGTTAACTTAAAGTTAACTTCTGGAATTACATGTAATTCAAAAAGTTACTTAACTGTCAAAGCAGTTTTATAATACCCGCCCTAAGTCATTCACGAATCAGGATGCTTCAACCCGGTTAAATAACACCAGAAAATCGTTCAGAAATCGAGAGTTGTTGTGCCTAGGGTGCGCCCAGATGACCACACTCGGGGCTGCATTCACAATAGACGCCCGGATGCACTCTGGGCGCACTCCGTGCGCGCTCCAGCGTCCGGATAAGTCATTCACAACTCGGGATGCTTCAACCCGGTAAAATTACACCAGCGTTCACAATCGGCTAGGAAAAATTTGCTCGACATGCGCGATAGTTTCATGCTGTTTTTTTTTTTTAATTCTGAGACCATCGCAACGTTTTTAAGAAAGGTAGCTGGATCCATGATAAAATACAAATTCAATTCACAAAGAAAATGAAGAAATAAACGACGTATGTACGTGATGCAAAATCAAAACATAAAATATATGGAAATAACAAATGTCATAATTCACCTGGTTGGGGCGGTTCTTAACCCAGTTAAGTCACTCCAACTTCCCGGGTAAGATTTACCTAGGTAGAATAACCTGGGTTGTCGAATCGTGAATGCGCTCCAGGGACGGGGTTGAAAAACGCACCCGTTCTTACCGGCGGGTTTGACGTGATTCATGACATTGACATTCACCACAACGCCCCAATACGTTCAGAAATAGCGCACCCAGTGTACTCCAAGTGATGACGTCAGAGCACTCTGACCAATGAACTATAGCTAAAAACTGGAATGCGCACACATTGCCATATCTGCCAAAAAAATGTAGCCATGAAAGACAGATGCCACAAAGGGGAATGTTGTTTTTTTTTGTTGCTCGCTGTCATATGACGTTTTCGAAAGTTTTGTCATATTTCCCTTCACAGGTTTCATCAATTGGAATACGTGTTGGAAGCAATTTTCGCCATTTAACATAATGAGTGCGACAAAAACAGGTATCCCCTCCGCAGCAGCCGCACTAGGCTTCACGTTCGTCCTTATGTGTTAGCATTCCAGTTTTTGGTTATAGTTCATTGACTCTGACAAACATCTACTCTATCTTCACAATCCATTTCTAAACGCACTCCGTTCACAATCGACTAGGTAAAATTTGCTCGACAAGAGCGATAGTTTCGTGGTGTTTTTTTTTTAAATTCTGAGACCATCACATTCATCACAATGTTTATAAAAAAAGGTAGCTGGATGGTACGTGATACAAAATCAAAACATAAAACATATGGAGATAAGAAAAATGTCACAATTCATCTTGGTTCGCGCGTTTCTTAACCCAGTTGAGTCGCTCCAACTACCCGGGTAAGATTTACCTAGGTAGAATATAACCCGGGTTGTCGAATCGTGAATGCGCCCCAGGAGCAAGAATCAAGCAACCGAGATCCGTGAAAATTTGCAACGTCACACTTCTCCTCCCACTCGAAAAACGAAATACTTCTATTCTTTCTATTCCATTCATTTCATCTTGCATGCATCAAGTCATTGTATAGTTACTTTCGCCATCGGCCGGGTCTGTCGCGGGGACGCTGGTGTCGCCGTGTTCGTAGTGTAGTGGACGCCGGACGCCGATCGTATTTTCTTACTCGTAAAGGAAAATGCCAAAAATAACTGTTTCGTGTTATAATTTTTTTGTTACGTGAAGTCACTAATTGTTCATTAGACTTCAGTATTACATTTTGTCGTGTTTTTAAGTGCGGATGGCTACGTTTTGATGGGATATTTTGTGATTTGAATTGAGGTAAATTCTATTGCTAGTAGTTATCCAAACAAGATCAATATGGCGGCTGGGATAATATGGCGTCCTCTGCCAATGTTCCTTTGTTTATCAAAGATTTTTATAAATTATTTATTTACAAACTCTTGATATTTTTTCAATTAAAAATAAACTTTATTAAGGGAAATTTGATTATTTTTTAAGTAATTTGACTGTCGCCCCCTATAACGCCCAAATAAAATACCTAAAAATTTAAATGTCAAAATTCACTTCCTGTTTTTGGGGGGAGGAGAAGAGCCTTTATTGATTTTTCATTCTTTTTTTTTTTTGGATAATGAAAGGTGCCGGTAAAAATTAACCAAGTAATCCTAGAAGGCGATATTTTTCTGTTGATATTTTGCAATGTTCGCTACAGGTAACCCAATATTTTTCATAATATAGGTCCCGGGATACTACCACATACTACCTACCTGTTTTTCTAACTATGCATTTTTGGTTATATATATTTTTTAATTTTCAGAGTGCAATTTTTAAATTTGTTCTTTGCCCTGTTTTGCCATTGCATTGTTGCCAGTTAAATAAAGCCCCGTTTTTCAGCAGCTCTTGAAACTTTTTTCCCTCCTAGTAAACAAATTCCAGAAAATTAAAATTTTATTTTCACTTATTCTGTTTTGTTTTGGTTTGAATTGAATGTTTATTATTTTTAAAATTGCTTCAGTAAATTTTAATTATGGCGTAATGTTTTTTTTGCCAAGTTTTTTTGCTAATTTTCAAAGTAACCTTCAATGCTCGCTCAGAGCTTCCGTAACGTAAGACTTGAGAAGTAAGCCGTAAGACTTAACACGTAAAACCTGAGAAATATATGCCAGTCAATTCAGGGCTAACTTAAAACTTAAGGAAGTGAAAGGTTATAGGTTGAATCTCGACATTTATCTAGAATTTGATTTTGCGGTTTATCTTGAACATAATTTTTTTTTCTTGTAGATACCTACTAACCTACTTACCTGTATTTTGAAAAACATTGTATTTAAAAAAAAAAATATTTGTTTATAAGTATAGAGTTCGAAGTGTACGTCATATCCCCAGCACAAAACAATGCAAACATCTTAGCAAACATTTGAATAATACCGAAATTAATAGCTTTGTTCCAAGTTCCAACACGTCAAGAAACCGTACAATGTACCATCACGATTCTGCACAAAGCCAAAAATTTGTGAGTAGAACTCGAATTTCTTATACGGTTTCGAAACCGTTCATGGAACTGTTATTGACGTGTTAGAACAAACCTTATATTTGCTTACAAATATTTTAGGCAACTGAACTGGAAAGGGATTGAACTCGGGATTGAACCACCCAGAAATAAAACAAAAACAATCAAAAACAGGTAGCCAAATATCTGTTTCTCATTCGGCTGCTTATGGAAACTTCTGATGCTTAACAAAAACTTAAGCTGTAGGTAACATAAGAAATAAAATTGTGGAATTTACGTTTTTTGTCTGAAAAATCTGTTTATATCAAAACAGTAATTTTTAATGTACTTGGTTACTTCTAGACTTCTAAGGGCGGGTATTATAAAACTACCTTGACAGTTAACTTCTGGAATAACATGAGGAGGAAGGAGTTAACTTTAAGCTAACTGTCCAAGTAGTTTTATATTACCCGCCATATTTTTTTTTTTATCAAAAGAATTCCCTAATTTTGTTACATACTTTTTTTTAGAATTATTATATGTACCTATCTAGATACCTATGATTTATTGTTTTTTTTTTTAAATCTGTTCGAACCATCATAATGTGAATTTACCTCGGAATGCACTCATATACCTACATGGCCAATATGTACCTATTAAGTAGCAAAAAAACACTAGAAAATTCTTAAAAACCTATAAAACTAAAATTATTTCTCAAACTTTTTTTAAATTTATTTATTTACTGGTTTCTTTACAAAACCCATAAATGATAATTACATGTAATGTAACTTGCTACTACAAACAAACTAACAACCTAAGTCTGCAAGAAAAAATAAAACGAGGAAATTCAGATCACAGCATCCAAATTTTTGAGACTAATATTAACAAGTCTGTTTGGACCTCACTGAGAATCTCATTTGTGATTAATATTGTTTTATTCTCAGTTTTATTGAAAGGAGATATACTACATATTTGGATCTGCACTAAATAGTTTTTGATTAAATATTTGGTATTCTTAAATTAATCTTTGGTACAGTGAAATTTATGTAATTAGGTTACAGTCTTTGTACTTTATGTTATTTAAAATATAGTAAAAATATATCACAGCTTATTGTTGTCTTCTTTGTAAAAGAGATCTGAACTTGAAACTATCCGACATAGATTTATGCAGGTCTATAAACCTAGCAGTCCCAAGGTGGAAAAAATACTTCGGGAACTATATAATAATTAGGTGCTTTTTAGGTGCTAATTAGGCCCTCTAATTAAAAATTAGGTGCTCCTTTAGTTTTTGAGAAAATCAAAAAAAACTAAGGGACTGCTAGGTTTATAAAAGCTAGCAGTCCCCTATAGTGAAAAATATTTTTCCAAAATTTTCCTTTGTATCAGAATTAGGTGCTCCTAAATAATCGAAGAAAAAATAGAATTGATTAATTATTATAGTCTATCCGATCTTACTTGGACCAGCGCTAAATATGTGGTCCGATCAAAATACCGCATAACCATATTGAAATAAAATAAGAAAATATATTGATAGGACCGGTACCAGGTCCATACTATTGATTGGTAACCCGGCCCGTCCAACGATCGAATCTTGTCAAACAGGGATAGGCGAGTTTGCAAGGGTTGGGGTGGAAAATACGGAGATGAAAAATACGTGGTTTTGAATAATGGACGGGCCGGGGACTGAAGTCGAAGCATAGAAATCCCGATAGCTCCCTTTATCAGCAGTAAGCCAGTGCAGTGCTTTGAATGGTTTAATTTCCCGATTTTAATTAAGTTTTGTGTATAGATTCTTCGAGTGTTTCTTCTAATATAATATTATTAAAAACAAGTGTTAATTTCAATATAACACTTTTTAAAACTGAATAATAGTTATTTATTCGATAAAACACGCTCTAAAAAATATATTACGCACGTCTATGCTTGTCAAAGAAAAAGCCGACTATTAGCACGTATTTAGTTTTTATAATAATAATAATTTATTAACGATCAAAGACCATTTACAATAACATTCATTTACATTAAACTTAAGTAATTCTTAATGTCTATCTTAAACTTATTGAAAGAGGAGTTAAAAAAATCAACAGTAGGTGGAAGCCTATTTGCTTCTCTGCATATTCTAGATATAGGTGAATAAAAACCATAATTTGTTACATGGGAGGATACACCAAAGGTTATATTTTGTCGAGTTTGTCTTGTTGGTACCTTAAAATTAATTAGTTGCAATAATGCCGGTGAAACAATTAAACCGTTCAAAACCCTGAACAATGTGCATAGATCAAAATACAATCTTCTTTTTTCCAGTGACGATATTTCCAAGAGAGCCAATATGTCACTATATTGAAGTTCATCTCTTGGAATATTTAGTCGATATCCTACATGACGCAGAAACTTTTTTGGACTCTCTCAATTTCATCGATCCATTTTTTATAATAGGGAGACCATACAGGACAAGCATATTCAGTGACAGATCTGACTACTGCACAGTAAACATTTTTCAATGCATATATGTTATTGAAATCTTTCAGTGAACGAATGACAAATCCAAGCAATTTAATCGACCTATTTTTTAGGTATTCTATGTGAGGTCCAAATGTGAATTCTTTATTAATCATCACCCCAAGGTCCTTTATGATCTCCTCTCTAATCAGTTCCTGATTATTTAATACATAGGAGTATACAATGGGTACCTTCAATCGGTAGAAACTGATTGTACAACATTTACTTACATTAAGTTCCAACTTATTAGACTGACACCACATAGCAAAGCTTTGTAGGTCTTCTTGAAGTTTTAGACAATCACTTTCACAACAAACAACCTTAAAAATCTTCAAGTCATCCGCATACAATAAAATTTTGCTGAAACGAATACAGTCCTGCAGATCATTTATAAAGCAGTTGAATAACATAGGCGATAGATGGCTTCCCTGAGGCACACCGGAAGATACATTGATTATTGACGACACAAAATTTTTCACTTTCACAACCTGTGTTCGACCAGATAAATAACTGCTCAACCAAGTCAGCAGAGTTCCGTGAACACCCATTGCCTCAATTTTTTTAATTAAAACTGAATGATTTATTCTATCAAAAGCTTTTGTAAAGTCTGTGTACACAGAATCCACTTGGGAACGTTCTTCCATAGCTTCAACTACAAACTGCTGATATTCCAGCAAGTTACTTATAGTGGATTTTCCTCTTAAAAATCCATGCTGTTCTGGGATTATCTGAGATGAAAGCAGTGGGTATAGGCATTTGTTTACAAAAGATTCCAACATTTTGGACAGAATTGAGTTTTTTGAAATTGCTCTGTAGTTTTTCACATCAGATCTGTTTACCATTTTTGGAAGATGGGTGTTACATAACTTCGCTTCCATACATCTGGAAAAACTCCACTCGACAAAGAAAGATTGAACAACATGGGCAATATATTGGATAATACAAATTTTGTGCCCTTCAAAAATTCAACAGGTATGCCATCAGGTCCACAACCTAAGTTGTTGCCTAGCTCTCCTATGGAATTAAGAACATCTAAACTGGTAATATGCTTGTATTGTACTGGTATTATGCTTGTCCAACAGATTTTTTTTCAATTATTAGGGGACTGCTGGCTTTGCGTTTACATGTTGGTGTGTCAGAATGGAAACAAAAACTTCGGGATCTATATAATAATTAAGTGCTTTTTAGGTGCTAATTAGGGCCTCTAATTAAAAATTAGGTGCTCCTCTAGTTTTTGAGAAAATTAAAAAAAACTAAAGGATTGCTAGGTTTATGAAAGCTAGTAGTCCCCTATCAATGACATCAAAACACAGATAGACCGAACAATAAACAAAAT